CTACACAGCACACACTACAACAGAACACATTATACAAAACACCACTACTTTTTACACCAGAACACATACACCACTACACAGAAACACACTACATACACACACCACCAAGAACACATTACACAGAACACACTACACAACACACTACACATTACACTACAAAGAACACACTACACAGAACACACTACACAGAACACACTACATAGAACACACTACACACGACACAGAACACACTACATAGAACACACTACACAGAACACACGACACAGAACACACTACACACTACACAGAACACACTACATACTACACAGAACACACTAAACACTACACAGAACACACTAAACACACTAAACACTACACAGAACACACTAAACACTACACAGAAAACACTACACAGAACACACTAAACACTACATAGAACACACTACACACACACAGAACACACTACATAGAACACACTACACAGAACACACAACACACTACACAGAACACACGACACAGAACACCCTACACAGAACACACTACATAGAACACACGACACAGAACACACGACACAGAACACACAACACAGAACACACGACACAGAACACACGACACAGAACACACGACACAGAACACACGACACAGAACACACGACACAGAACACAAGACACAGAACACACGACACAGAACACACGACACAGAACACACGACACAGAACACACGACACAGAACACACTACACAGAACACACTACACAGAACACACTACACAGAACACACTACACAGAACACACGACACAGAACACACTACACAGAACACACTACACACTAAACAGAAGACACAACACCCTACATGATGCACACTCAATAGACCCTAATGCAAGAGGTGGTGATTAGATCCCAGAACTATATGGAATATCTGTGACTGAATACCCTCTTTGTGTCTCCAACAGAACACAACAAAGGAGAGGACTTTCAGGATGACCATAGTAATGCAGTAAGTAGTTGCGTCATTTGAAACCATATGGCTGGTACTGGTGACCCAAGAACTAGGAGCAAGGAGCAGACTACCTCTGCATTTTGGATACAGTGATTGAATACTTTGTCCCTAAAACCCATTCCTGTACATTTTGTATGCATTCACCTTGACACACACACTTCTAAATTCCCCTCTCTGCAGTCCAATCCCCCTTTCCAGGCGGATCAGGATGTAAGCTCCAACCACAGGGATGGATCTCAGGAGTCAGGAAGCACCGCCGGGAATTCTGTTACCGCAGCGACCTCTGCTGGATCAGCCGTGTCCACGAGACCTGTGCTCACACGCCAAGGTAGGTGTGTGTGTGTGGGTAGGGAGAGACGGGGGAGGAAGTATTCGTAATCATATCCCATTCATCATATTTTAATGAAAGCTAATCATAGATCATGCCTTGGACCTATATTTTGGTCTTTGTTTATAAATGTTATTTTTTATGACGGTTGAGGGATATACAATATTTCTCATACATGCCTCATTCTCTACTGGGTCTCTACTGGGTCTCCACAGGGTCTCAACTGGGTCTCTTGGGTTTCTACTGGGTCTCCACAGGGTCTCTGCTGTCTTTCTACTGGGTCTCTGCTGTCTCTCTACTGGGTCTCTGCTGTCTCTCTACTGGGTCTCTGCTGTCTCTCTACTGGGTCTCTGCTGTCTCTCTTCTGTGTTTTCTACTGGGTCTCCACAGGGTCTCTGCTGTCTCTCTACTGGGTCTCTGCTGTCTCTCTACTGGGTCTCTGCTGTCTCTCTACTGGGTCTCTGCTGGGTCTCTGCTGTCTCTCTGCTGTCTCTCTACTGGGTCTCTACTGGGTCTCTGCTGTCTCTCTACTGGGTCTCTGCTGTCTCTCTACTGTCTCTCTACTGTCTCTCTACTGGGTCTCTGCTGTCTCTCTACTGGGTCTCTACTGTCTCTCTACTGGGTCTCTGCTGTCTCTCTACTGGGTCTCTGCTGGGTCTCTGCTGTCTCTCTGCTGTCTCTCTACTGGGTCTCTACTGGGTCTCTGCTGTCTCTCTACTGGGTCTCTGCTGTCTCTCTGCTGTCTCTCTACTGGGTCTCTACTGGGTCTCTGCTGTCTCTCTACTGGGTCTCTGCTGTCTCTCTACTGGGTCTCTACTGGGTCTCTGCTGTCTCTCTGCTGTCTCTCTACTGGGTCTCTACTGGGTCTCTGCTGTCTCTCTACTGGGTCTCTGCTGTCTCTCTGCTGTCTCTCTACTGGGTCTCTACTGGGTCTCTGCTGTCTCTCTACTGGGTCTCTGCTGTCTCTCTGCTGTCTCTCTGCTGTCTCTCTACTGTCTCTCTGCTGTCTCTCTACTGGGTCTCTACTGTCTCTCTACTGGGTCTCTGCTGTCTCTCTACTGGGTCTCTGCTGGGTCTCTGCTGTCTCTCTGCTGTCTCTCTACTGGGTCTCTACTGTCTCTCTACTGGGTCTCTGCTGTCTCTCTGCTGTCTCTCTGCTGTCTCTCTACTGTCTCTCTACTGTCTCTCTACTGGGTCTCTACTGTCTCTCTGCTGTCTCTCTGCTGTCTCTCTACTGTCTCTCTACTGGGTCTCTACTGGGTCTCTACTGGGTCCATTTGGGTCTCTACTGTCTCTCTGCTGGGTCTCTGCTGTCTCTCTGCTGTCTCTCTACTGGGTCTCTGCTGGGTCTCTGCTGTCTCTCTACTGGGTCTCTGCTGGGTCTCTACTGGGTCTCTACTGTCTCTCTGCTGGGTCTCTGCTGGGTCTCTACTGGGTCTCTACTGGGTCTCTACTGGGTCTCTACTGTCTCTCTACTGGGTCCATTTGGGTCTCTGCTGGGTCTCTACTGGGTCTCTGCACACACAGCTGTAGTTTGCTACAGATATTGGAATGTATCTACCATCCAAATAGTTATCTGCCGCTGCCTGGTATGGCACAGCTTTGGGGGCAAAGTATGCCATTCTCTGCTTTGAATTCCATAATACTCACTGATTCCCTCTCACTGAATCTCATTGTAATTCACAGTTAGACAGACCCTCTGAGTTCCAAAAGCCTAAACCATTCCAACACGTTTCTGTCCTCTTTGAAATCATTCATCCTTCTCCAAACAGCTTTGCAATAGTTTACGATTGAATCTGAATGTGATTTATATATGTAACGACAGACCCTCCTCCTCTTTTTCTCTCTCCTCGCATCCCTTCAGATAAAATTGTATTATAAGGGACAGATCGAAATGTACTAGGGGGGGAAGGTGCTGGTCCAACTCAAGGTGTCATTAAAAAAAATGAACCCACCTCCCCAACGTTAAAAATATTTTCATGACCATCCCTTTGTACAGTAAAATAAATGGAACACCCTCTCCCCCCCCTCATAGAATTAACTCAAAATAATGTTTACGACCACAAATAACAGTAACTGCAGCGACCCTGTGTTTATAAACGTGAATATCGACTTTGCTACTTCAGCATGCTATTGTCTCTACTGTGGCACAGTCGATGCCACGCAGGGCTGTGGAGGGGCCAGAAGGTTGGGGGTTCACCCACCACCACAGACGAGCTCATTCTCCCTGTCTGTTTCATTACACTACGATCAGAGCCGGCGGCCGACAATGATCAGCTAGGTGGAAATCAGATTTTCAACATTTTGATGCCATATTTATAATTATATAAAAATATATTTCTGTGCTAATGCACCACACAACCAATAAACAAAGCATACCGATTTCGGGCACTTCAATATCATCGTTTTTCATTTTCAACACCACAATAAATAGAGTGTGTCAATCTGGACAAACAGAACATACATCCCACCCTACTCAGTATCGAAGGCTTGGCTTGACAATATCCCAACGTCATTCAACTTTTTTGGTGTTTTGTGTAACAGATGTCTCTTTCCGTTAATCAATTGGCCGCTGCACAGTTTGGATTGATTGATTGATTTTGTATGTCAGTTAAAAAACGACATATACAGTGGGGAAAAAAAGTATTTAGTCAGCCACCAATTGTGCAAGTTCTCCCACTTAAAAAGATGAGAGAGACCTGTAATTTTCAACATAGGTACACGTCAACTATGACAGACAAAATGAGAAATTTTTTTCCAGAAAATCACATTGTAGGATTTTTAATGAATTTATTTGCAAATTATGGTGGAAAATAAGTATTTGGTCTACAACAAAAGTTTCTCAATACTTTGTTATATACCCTTTGTTGGCAATGACACAGGTCAAACGTTTTCTGTAAGTCTTCACAAGGTTTTCACACACTGTTGCTGGTATTTTGGCCCATTCCTCCATGCAGATCTCCTCTAGAGCAGTGATGCTTTGGGGCTGTCGCTGGGCAACACGGACTTTCAACTCCCTCCAAAGATTTTCTATGGGGTTGAGATCTGGAGACTGGCTAGGCCACTCCAGGACCTTGAAATGCTTCTTACGAAGCCACTCCTTCGTTGCCCGGGCGGTGTGTTTGGGATCATTGTCATGCTGAAAGACCCAGCCACGTTTCATCTTCAATGCCCTTGCTGATGGAAGGAGGTTTTTACTCAAAATCTCACGATACATGGCCCCATTCATTCTTTCCTTTACACGGATCAGTCTTCCTGGTCCCTTTGCAGAAAAACAGCCCCAAAGCATGATGTTTCCACCCCCATGCTTCACAGTAGGTATGGTGTTCTTTGGATGCAACTCAGCATTCTTTGTCCTCCAAACACGACGAGTTGAGTTTTTACCAAAACGTTCTATTTTGGTTTCATCTGACCATATGACATTCTCCCAATCCTCTTCTGGATCATCCAAATGCACTCTAGCAAACTTCAGACGGGCCTGGACATGTACTGGCCTAAGCAGGGGGACATGTCTGGCACTGCAGGATTTGAGTCCCTGGCGGCGTAGTGTGTTACTGATGGTAGGCTTTGTTACTTTGGTCCCAGCTCTCTGCAGGTCATTCACTAGGTCCCCCCGTGTGGTTCTGGGATTTTTGCTCACCGTTCTTGTGATCATTTTGACCCCATGGGGTGAGATCTTGCGTGGAGCCCCAGATCGAGGGAGATTATCAGTGGTCTTGTATGTCTTCCATTTCCTAATAATTGCTCCCACAGTTGATTTCTTCAAACCAAGCTGCTTACCTATTGCAGATTCAGTCTTCCCAGCCTGGTGCAGGTCTACAATTTTGTTTCTGGTGTCCTTTGACAGCTCTTTGGTCTTGGCCATAGTGGAGTTTGGAGTGTGACTGTTTGAGGTTGTGGACAGGTGTCTTTTATACTGATAACAAGTTCAAACAGGTGCCATTAATACAGGTAACGAGTGGAGGACAGAGGAGCCTCTTAAAGAAGAAGTTACAGGTCTGTGAGAGCCAGAAATCTTGCTTGTTTGTAGGTGACCAAATACTTATTTTCCACCATAATTTGCAAATAAATTCATTAAAAATCCTACAATGTGATTTTCTGGATTTTTTTTCTCAATTTGTCTGTCATAATTGATGTGTACCTATGATGAAAATTACAGGATTCTCTCATCATTTTAAGTGGGAGAACATGCACAATTGGTGGCTGACTAAATACTTTTTTTCCTCACTGTACAATTACATAGATACAGACACATTGCACAGATAGAGATGAAGGAATGCTCAACCTTCAGATGAGTATGAGGGGGAAGTTTAAGTACAATTGTTACAAGCTCGTTTGGCTGTTAGCTTATTCTTTAGGTGTCTGGGGCTGCTGGTGCATAATCAAAGTGATTAGCGCACCAGCTAGGTTTCCATCAAATTGGCGGCAGATTTTCATGCAAATATGATAAAAAATCTTCACAAAAACAATATGCCATTTCAGAGTTTTCTTTAGGGAAATTTGGAGCTGGACAACATGACAGGGAAGATTTTTTATTTACCGGACATTTGAGAAATTTACCGGACATCCATATGCATTCAGATCTGACCTGGCACAGCCAGCACCATCAATAAACTAGGGATATTGGCCAAATGAGCCACATTTACGTGTCCTTAAAAACATATAACACACTGCCTTCATATCATAGGCCTGCAGTAGCTAAAGCTTAATAATAGTCACACCATACCAAACCTTCACAAATGTTTCTACATTTTATTAGGTTATATCACAAGTCAAGCCATTGTTTAGAGGGAAAATATGAGCAGGAGAGTGAATGTAAACCAGGGGGGAAACACACTGCCCTCCCCTGTGTCCAATAAAAACGCACTGCCCTCCCCTGTGTCCAATAAAAACGCACTGCCCTCCCCTGTGTCCAATAAAAACGCACTGCCCCCTGTGTCCAATAAAGAAAAACGCACTGCCCTCCCCTGGTGTCCAATAATAACACACTGCCCTCCCCTGGTGTCCAATAATAACGCACTGCCCTCCCCTGGTGTCCAATAATAACACACTGCCCTCCCCTGGTGTCCAATAATAACACACTGCCCTCCCCTGGTGTCCAATAAAGAAAAACACACAACTCTCCCAAAGCAAAAAAATAAAAAAAATAAAAAAAGTTTGACAACCCTCCCCTATTTTTGGACCACCCCTCCCCCCGCAGTAAATTTCGATCTGTCCCTAAATTTCATTTAAACCCCAACACACATTTTTACTCATCCATCCCTTATCTCATCCTTCTCCCTCCTCTAAACCTCTCCTCTTATCCTTACAGGCTCCACGTTCAAGCCTCTGAACCCAGTGAAGAGACAAGACAAGAGGAAGAACAGGAGCAGGAGGACTACAGTCATGGGCATACCCCAGCAGGTCCAGAGAGAGCTGGGTACGTATGTAGCCACGGATGGCAGCTAGCTTTGCACTGGGTACGTATGTAGCCACGGATGGCAGCTAGCTTTGCACTGAGCTTCACTTTACGAAGTCACCGCGACCAACAAAGGTCCAGAGTTTTGTGGGTTTGTGGTTTAGTAAATAAAGTGATCATGAAGAGCTATGCTGAATGAATACTCTTAGCCACGTTGTCAAAAAAAGTCAAATTAATGGTACTTTCGTTTGTCAAATTCAAATTAGGTGATAGTAGTGGTGATAAGATGTTTTCCATCTCCGTTCCCCTTCTAGCCCTTCACAGTGGATCAGTGTACCATGTTCCTTCCCAGCTCCCTAACGGCTCTGGAGGACAGGGTAGTGACGGCCAACCAGGTGTGGTCGTCATCCCCACCATCGATGGAGAGACCCCTCTAGCCAACCACGAAGGGGCAAGGGTACACCTCTCAGATCTGGAGGTGAGGCTTTCATATGAGCTTGTTTTCAGGACTTTCAGCCTTTGCAACCTGGACAAGTACATTTATTTCGTGCTATTGGTTATAGTGTCATATTTTTACTTACAGACTGCTACTTGCATGACAAAATTGTAGTTACATTGTTCGTAATATCTGCTTTTGATAAGGATTCTTTGAAAACAAGGTAGTTATCATTTGTGTTAGCAAGAAACCATTGCCTTGTGCAAATACATTTATACTATAATTACAACTGAACTAATCTAAATAGGCATCCAGAGAGGAGCAGCTATTGAGACACCACCTCCAGTCTGTGTACAGGGACGACCAGGGCTTCAGCCACCACAGGGGACTGAATTCTTGTCTCTCCTCCACCCAAAGGCCCAAGTCTCTGTCCGTGCTGGGCATGACCTCCTCCTGCTCCGCTGGATTCCCCAGCTTCCTCCAGGAGCCACAGGTGAGTCCAGTTCAGAACGGTGTTTGTCACTGTGTTTCTTCCTGCTCGGGTCATCTACACTGAGCGTACAAAACATTAGGCACACCTGATTTTTCCATGACATATACTGACCAGGAGAGTCCAGGTGAAAGCTATGATCCCTTATTGATGTCACTTGTTAAATACACTTCAATCAGTGTAGATGAAAGGGAGTAGACAGGTTATATAAGGATTTTTAAGCCTTGAGACAATTGAGACATGGATTGTGTATGTGTGCCATTCAGAGGGTGGTGAATGGTCAAGACAAAAGATTTAAGTGCCTTTGAACGGGGTATGGTAGTAGGTGCCAGGCGCACCGGTTTGTGTCAAGAACGGCAATGCTGCTGGTGTGTGTATCAACAATGGTCCACCACCCAAAGGACATCCAGCCAACTTGACACAACTGTGGGAAGCATTGGAGTCAACATGGGCCAGCATTCCTGTTGAACGCTTTCGACACCTTATAGAGTCCATGCCCTGAGGAATTGAGGCTGTTCTGATGGCAAAAGGGATGGGTGCAACTCAATATTAGGAAGGTGTCCTTAGTGTTTTGTACACTCTACTAAAAAGTATGCACACATTACTGTAAGTCGCTTTGGATAAAAGTGTCTGTTAAATGACATGTTTACCCTTCCCTGGAATGTTGCTGACAAATCACACGATCGTCTAACACTGATGTTAAACCAAGCTTGCTATCTGAACAACTGGACTTGAAAAATGATCAAAATACTCATTGTGAATGGTTGAATGGAATGCTGAGGAAGCAAAATGGCCTCCAGCTCCACAGTTGGCCAAACCACAGTATATCTACATAGTATGACTCCTAATGTTGACCCTTGTGTTTGCCTCCACCCAGGGTCCGGTGATGTCCATCTCTCCCCAGGCGACCTACCTGTCTAAGATCATCCCCAACGCCTACCTGTCGGCCTCCGTTGACGTCATACAGATCGACCGCAGCACAAGCCGTACCCGTGGAAACAACGGTAACGGAACGGTCCGTACCGTCAGCCTGGCGTCCGGGTCGTCGGCCAGCCCTGCGTCATCGAGGAGGTCGGACGGCAACGGTTGCTATGAAGGCGGCGACAGCGTTTCCCATGGTGACAGTAGTTCCCGTGACATTGGCTCTAAGGCAACTCCACACTCAGTGACTTCGAGATCCAGCTGGAGCCACTCGCAGTCTTCCGAGACAATTAAGTCCAACTCCTCCGCCATCTCCTCCACGAAGGGGAGCTTCAGACCTGCTAACCCACAGACAGTGAGCCTCGTTGGGCAGGAGAGACGGCCGCAGCAGCCTGCTGCTGAGGATCAGGACTTGGTGAGCCTACAAAGCTCGGCTAACTGGGTCAGCAGCACCAGTAGGGGTACTAGTGCTGCGACTGCTCAGGGGGGATCTGAGTCGGGTCTATCTGGGATTCTGAGTGCTGGGGAGATGAGCGATGTTGGAGGAGACTCTCACAGATTCTCTCGCTGTCTGTCGGTCATGAAGACCAAGCTGCCCCCGGCTCCCCCCAGGAGAACCAACTCACTGCACCATGAGAAGATGATGAAGAGGCGACCCAGGGAACTGGTGGAGATTAAAGACCTCCGTGACTCTGTGGGTGGGGAGGTGGAGGCTGCTGAGGACACAAGCTTGGTTACGATCGAGATCTCTAAAGAGCTATACAAAGAAATCACAAAGAGCTCTGTCCCTGTATCCAACTCATCTGGGTTTAACTCTTTAGATGATACAAGATCTTCCACAGACCTCTAGTCCTTTGAGTCCCACACAGGCCTCCTCTGGAGGTAGTGGAAAACCAGAGAGGCCAGGGTCCAGCAGCTCTTCCCCACAGAAGGCCCCCTCAGAGGAGGGTACATTTGAAAGGACCATGTCCCCCTCCAGTGGGTACTCCAGCCAGAGCGGTACGCCGAAGCTCTCCCCCAAGGGGATCTGCCCTTCCGCCTCCCCAGGTAAACAGAAGAAGAATCAGGTCAAACCAGAACGATCTGGTTCAAGAGCTTCTTTCTCTGCAGCCTCGGTCTCCTCTTCCCTCACCTCCCTGTCTTCAGCCACCTCAGAACTCGTCAATCAAGAGGCCTCGAAAAACAGCCCTAGCCCTCTTCAGCAGGCCTCCCCACCCCCGGCTGTTATGAGAACAGAACATCCAGAAACGGCGACCCTGGTCCGTTTCTCTGCATCCATGGCGATCAGTGAGCTGCTTAACATTCCGCCACCCCCCAACGTCAAAGCCCCTTCCCCGCCACCCCCGGAGACCTGGGCCCACAACAGATGCACCTTCGAACTGCTGTGCGGGCCTTGCCCCAACGTCACCAGGCTAGCACAGCTCCAGAAGCAACAGGAACTAAAAGAAAAAGCTGTTATCATTGAGCAAAAGCAGGAAACTCAAACTGAAGCTAGCAAGGAGCCTCAAGGCTCGGACGAAAAGCAAGCTACGGTAGAGGAAGTCACTTTGACAAAATCACAAAGCAAATACATTGTTCCCCAATACAAGACTGAGCCTGTGTTAGAGCAGGCGCCTGAGGTATCCGAGTGTGTTAGTCAGGGACTCAAGGGCACAGAAAGTCAAACAAAAGAACAAGGAAGTCCTGCGGTGATCGCAGAGAGGGTAAAAGCAAGTGTAGAGATCCAGAACCAGGAGCAGAGTAGTAGTAGTGGTGGTAGTAGTAGTAGTAGTGTTGCACAGGTCAAGGATCAAGAAGAGAGGCTAGAGACACAAGTTAGTTTAGCGACGATTCCAAAGAAGGAACCCCCTTCTGTCATGAAAAAAAGTCCTCCTAGAAAAGAACCTAAAGTTCAACTAACAGCAGACATTCAACAAAAGTCGCCATTTGATGAGGTCACAGTAGAGGTGAAGGTAGAATCACCCAGTGAGAGTGAGAAGTGTTCTCCACAGGCTGAGGTAATTGCTAAGGAAGTTGAGGTAGTAGCTAAGGAAGTTGAGGTAGTAGCTAAGGAGGTCGAAGGTCAGAGTGCTACTGAAAACACTACAGAGGAAAGTCCCACCAAACCAGAGGCATCTACACAGACCCTTGCCTTGGAGCCTCATAAAGTGGACAGGGTCTCTCCTCCAGCCTCCCCTCCCCCTGCCCACCACCCTCCTCCTCCCCCGTCTAAGACACCTCCCTCCTCTGTGTCCACTCCCCCACCTGAGGTAGAGGAGGAGGGTGAGGAAGAGATTCCCATAGTAGAGTCCTGCTGGCCCCCTCCACCTCCACCAGAGGAGCCAGCAGATTCAGTCTTTGATGAGCCAGATGAGATGGACTTTCCACCTCCACCTCCTCCCTTCGTGACGGAGAGCTTGCCAGATGTGGTGGAGAGCTGTAACACAGTCGCTGATGTCCAGGAGGTGTCCATTGTGGCTCTGGATGGGGAGGAGGTTAAGGAAACCGTGAATGGAGCAACTGTAGCTGGTGCAACTGTGAATGGGGAAACTGCAGATCTGTCACCCATTCCCGCTCAAATGGGGACAAAAGAGGATAGACCTGAAAAGGTGATTCTGGACTCTAACGCTGTCCCAACTGATGAAACCAGCTTTGAGGTATCTGAATCAGCTGAGCTCCAATCAATTCCAGCAGATGATTCAACCGTCGTTTCTCCAGTTCAGCCCAATGAAAAAGAGGCAGAGGTCAAGCAATCTGCCCAGAAACCAATCACAATGCAAGAAGCCACCCCTCAACCAACAGAAACTTCTCCTCAGTCACAGGAAGTCCCGCCCTTACCAGAGGATGTCCCTCCCCCACCCCAGGAAGCTCCTCCTCCTCCACCAATGACAACAGCCTTGGTGCCCCCCTCAAGTATCCCTCCTCCACCTCCTATCAATGTCCCCCTCCCTCCCCTTGTGCAATTTGAGGATCAGACGCCCTCCGAGCCCCCTGAAAGTGCCCCACTTCCACCACCCATTAACATCCCTCTCCCACCCCCTCTCCCGACTGAGAACCAACCCCCTGTGATCTTCAGGAGACAGCCCAGCTTGGCGAACAGAGAGACCAGGAGCAAAGAGCTTCTGTCTAGGCACAAGAGTGCCCCCATTCCCAAAGAAGACGCCAACATTCCGCTGGTCACCCCGTCTCTGCTTCAGATGGTACGTCTCAGATCGGTCAATGTTGGTGAAGACCAGGTGAAAGCACTTTCTGACAACAACAATTCCAACAATGGAAAACCACCTGCTCAGGATCAAAGTTCAACCCAAATCCAAACCCAAGGATCTCAGCACACAACACCCCAAAAACCAATCCGGAAATCCCTGTCACTAAAATCCACACCTCCGCCATTGAAGTCATCACCAGCGATGCTCATCGCCCCCTCGATGCGCTTGCAGGAAGCTATCCGAATGAAGACAGCGGCCATGTCTTCCAGAGATAGTCTTCCAACGTGCTTTAGAATGCCATCCTACACCTCATTTCCCAGTTGCAGTGGGAGTGAATCAGGAATGTTATCCCCATTGTCACCAGAAGGTGGCGACACGCTAAAGTCCCCCGCCACCACCGCTAGCTTCATCTTCTCCAGGAGCTCAAAGAAGGTTGTCATAGAAATGCCTGCCTCTTCCTCCCCCGAGGTACAGGCGAGCCTAAAGCAGAGCCTAGCCGCGGAACTCAAGCATGTTTCCGACCAATCAAAGGCTTCCACAGTCGCTAACGGCAACGTTGGAAGAACTGGGATTCCGAGGAGAATTCCGCCAGCCGTGGCTAAGAAACCAGCTCACAAAACCACCTTGGAGAAGCCTGTGTGTTCTACACCTGGGAGCTCTCTGAGTGAGAGGAGCACTCCATCTCCAAGGGGAACAGAAGCTAAGGTAGAGACAGAAACAGCGCAACCTGCGGGCCAGCAAGCACTGACAGACGACAGCGAGTAAGAACACCAGCACTACACCTAGAATAGGTTTGTTGCTGCATGTTAATAATTACACATCCTTGAGAAGACACAGCGTAAAGTACATGTAAATGTTATTTGTTTATTTCCAATGTTGATTGTAATGCAGGTAGCGTATCAAATTGATCTTGCAGTGATTATGTTCATTGAATGCTTATCAATTATTTAAAGACGAACACCACGCTCTCTCTCTCACACACACACACACACACACACACACACACACACACACACACACACACACACACACTACATGACCAAAAGAATGTGGACATCTTATTTCAAAATCATGGGGATTAATATGGAGTTGGTCCCCCCCTTTGCTGCTATAACAGCCTCCACTATTCTGGGAAGGCTTTCCACTAGATGTTGGAACATTGCTGCGGGGACTTGCTTCCATTCAGCCACAAGAGCATTAGTGAGGTCGGGCACTGATGTTGGGCGATAAGGCCTGGCTCGCAGTCAGCGTTCCAATTCATCCTAAAGGTGTTTGATTGCGTTGAGGTCAGGGTTCTGTGCAGGCCAGTCAAGTTCTTCCACACCGATCTCAACAAACCATTTCTGTATGGACCTCGCTTTGTGCACAGGGGCATTATCATGCTGAAACAGGAAAGGGCCTTCCCCAAACTGTTGCCAGAAAGTTGGAAGAACAGAATTGTCTAGAATGTCATTGTATGATGTAGCGTTAAGATTTCCCTTCACTGGAACTAAGGGGACTAGCCAGAACCATGAAAAACAGCCCCAGACCATTATTCCTCCTCCACCAAACTTTACAGTTAGCACTATGCATTGGGGCAGGCAGTGTTCTCATGGCAACCGCCAAACCCAGATTCGTCCACCGGACTGCCAGATGGTGACACGTGATTCATCACTCCAGAGAACGCATTTCCACTGCTCCAGAGTCCAATGGCGGCGAGCTTTACACCACTCCATCAGACGCTTGGCATCGCGCATGTTGATCTTAGGCTTGTGTGCGGCTGCTCGGCCATGGAAACCCATTTCATGAAGCTTCCGATGAACAGTTCTTGTGCTGACGTTGCTTCCAGAGGCAGTTTGGAACTCGGTAGTGAGTGTTGCAACCGAGGACAGACGATTTTTACTCGCTATGCGCTTCAGCACTTGGCGGTTCCGTTCTGTGAGCTTGTGTGGCCTACCACTTCGCGGCTGAGCCGTTGTTGCTCCTAGACATTTCCACTTCACAATAACAGCACTTACAGTTGACCGTTGAGCAGCTCTAGCAGGGCCGACATTTTACAAACTGACTTGTTGGAAAGGTGGCATCCTATGACGGAGCCACGTTGAAAGTCACCGAGTTCTTCAGTAAGGCCATTCTGCTGCCAATGTTTGTCTATGGAGATTGCATGGCTGTGTGCTCGACTTTATACACCTGTCGGCAACAGGTGTGGCTGAAATAGCCGAATCCACTAATTTGAAGGGGTGTCGACATACTTTTGTCTATATAGTGGACATGCACACACAGATTTATCTCCATAGCATTACACAGCAGCAGCAGCAGTAGAAATGCTTGTCTAATTCTGAAAGAAAATGATTCCCCTCCCTCCCTATAGAAGCTTGTCTAATTCTGTTTCCAGTAATATTCACTACATGGTAGGGTTAGAAAGTAGTAATAAATAAATAAAATTCACTACATGGTCCAACCAATGCTGACGTAGTTACATCCACGATTAGCCTTGCCCACAGAATGCTCCTTGTTTATCATAGTGTAACTGGGCCCATTGGGCTCTGGCCAGATGCACTATATATATCTGGCCAGAGGTAGTGCACTATATAGGGAATAGGGTGGCTATTGGGACGCAGAGCCTTCTGAGTCTAACATCTTTCTACCGTTTTCCAGGTAAAATGGAGACGTCTGACATTAAAGAAGCACCATGATTGCGCTTGTGAAAAAATACTGGATTCTTGTGGAATGGGACGAACAAAGCAAGGACTGCAAGAACCTGAGAGACATGGGGGGAGAGAGAGAGAGAGAGAGAGAGAGAGAGAGAGAGAGAGAGAGAGAGAGGAGAGAGAATCAAAACAGTATTCACTTAAGAAGTCAACAAAATGAGTCTTCCAAGGCCTTTATAGTTTTGCACAAAACCCAATTTCTTTAAAATGAAAGCTTTATTTTGGAGCGTTTTTCTAACCCATAGAGCTCTATTTAGGGCTCTATTCAATCCGTATCATTCAGCGTTACAACGTGATTGAAAGGCAATGATCCAGCGTTAGCGGAGGCTTCCTTCACGGTAAACGCTGTATGTCGGCTCAATCGGAAAATACCTTTAAATGCTTCTGCGAATAGAGCCCTTAGTCTGCTTTAGCAAAGTGCAAGCAGTGCCCCCTCAGGAAAAAGGGTGTACTGCGGCTGTATTTTGTAAATACAGTACAAAAGGCTGTGCTTGTAATAGATCGCCCTCTAGAGGTTAAAAAAGGTAGCAGTCACTGCAGTTGGGAAAGAAAAACCAGTGGACAAATATACATTTTTTTGCTTCATAAAGATACCCTTTTGGAGTCAAGCAATCTCTGAATTATCTTATTTCCTAATGGAATGACAGATTATGTAATTCCCAGAAATTATATTTTGATCTCATCGATCAATCAATCAAATCAATTAACCAATCAATGTGTTATTTTTGCTTTTTGATCAGCGTAAATAAATGTTTCCAATGAAACTGCAAATGATTTTGTGAATATGTAGGTAGAGTAGTGCTTGATAAAAGAAAGGGATGTTGCATATTTAAAAATACCATTTATATATTAAACCTATTGTCCATTTTTTTTTTTTTTTTTAAGCACTTTGTAAGATAATGAAGCTGTTAAAGGTTTAGGCGAGAAAACCTTTCATCCTTCTGAAACTAGGCCTACGTCCCAAACAGCACATGTACCCCCCAAAAATAGCGCACTGCTATGGCAACAGTATGGCGGCAGGTAGACTAGTGGTTACAGCTTATCAGTCAGTAAACCGAAAGGTCGCTGGTTTGAAAACCCGAGCTGACAAGGTGAAAAACATCTGTTGATGTGCCCATAACCCTAATTTGCATCAGGTACTACTATGGCTAACCCTGGTAAAACAACACATTTCACTGCACCTACGTGTCAATAAAAATGTTTTGTAAAACATCTTTGACCAGGGAATAGGGTGCCTTTTGGGACACAGTCCAAGGAGAGAGGGGGTGCGCAATATTTATATTCCTTATAGTTGCTTACAGTAAACACTATTCCCATGCGTTCAAAGACAACACTGATGGCTTTTCCTGTTACTTACCGTTTGTTTTTAATGTGTCTTTAAGTTGCTGTAAACAAATGTTCTTTATTAATACTGTATCAGCATTATTAACATCATCTATCGCTTAGCAACCAAATATTAAACCTCGGTTTGAGTTCAACTGATTCATCAAAATGTCTTGATTGTGTGGCTGGCCTTACAGTCAGTTTTATTTCATCAAATCCACAGGCCTCCTGATCGTGCTACAGGGAAACAGGGATTTGCGTCCCAAATACCACCCCTATTCCCTACACGATGCACTACTTTTGACCAGAGCATCATGGGACATACAGTTGAAGTAGGAAGTTTACATACACTTAGGTCGGAGTCATTAAAACTCGTTCTTCAACTGTACCTGGATGAAAAGCGGTGCACTATACAGGGAATAGGGAGGTATTTGGGACTCTGCCCTACTAGAGATAAAGGCTATAGTAACAGTGGACATTTTTTTACATTTTTTACATTTTACGTAATTTAGCAGACGCTCTTATCCAGAGCGACTTACAGTTAGTGCATACATTATTCTTTTTTTATTTTCATACCCCATGGGAATCGAACCCACAACCCTGGCGTTGCAAACGCCATGCTGTACCAACTGAGCTACCTCCCTGCCGGCCATTCCCTCCCCTAACCTGGACAACGCTGGGCCAATTGTGCGCCGCCCCATTGGTGGACTAAGGAGAGACGGTGGTGTGCCTTTGGGTGACTTAGTTCACGTGTTCTTTTCTTTAAAAAAAAGAAAGTATTTTACACTTTTATTTTCCTCCATTCACATTGGCTGCAGGAGCGTAGGTCTTTCCCATAGTGAGCAGACATCTTGGTAGTCAACTTTGCAAAAAATCACCTTTGCCCAGCAAATGATATTGTTTAACATTGAATAAATTAATCTCTTTCGACTCCGCACACGGCCTGGAAAAGTAACAACGTTTCTTACTCGATTCAAAAGTACGAAATAAGAAGAAAAAAATGTACAGTTATGTACTTCTTTGTTGTGAAAATATTATAAATTATTCATGTGTATTAGAAATCACACATTTATTTTACTGTGTTTTGCAGTTGGGTGACTGTGTGGTGACTATGTGTAGTCGTCTGATTTAAATATTACCCATCATCCTTCAGGCAGGATGTAGATCTTCCCAAGAGGCCACTCCCTCTATTCATACTAAGCACTCCTCCCCTATACACCTGGTTTAAGCTTTCACTGTCAATACAAAAGGTGTTCACAGCATCAGATTTCAACATAGCTGCCAGCCATTGTGACGGGGCCATCCCAGGGGACACTGGGAAAGGAAGACAACCATCGGTTTATTTCATTTCCAGATGATGCATTAGCAGTATTGTGACACGAATAACAGAATAATTCCTGATACCACCCACCATCCCACAGGATAAAATAACAGCTTGATCGACCCGTACTGTATACATCTTCAACGGTTATCACATCCACTAGCGTTCTCTTACCACCACAACACATTTCTATATTCATGTTGTGTAATGTCACACCGTAATGGATAGGTCCTAGGTGACTGGTGTGGATGATTTTAAGACACGGTAGACAGTAGAGAACTGTTGAAGGCTAGCTAGTGTACACAACGTGTCTCTTGGTTATAGGTCACAACCGACGTGGTTCCATATTTTCCTCAAAGCATTTCCCAGACAGCAAGATACAATGTGTTTAAAAAAAAAAAATGGGGCACTCGGCCGTCAGAGCCATACCG